ACATTGTTTGATTACGTGCATATCGAGCTAACAACATTCCCACAAGCGTTTATTACAATTCTTTGATAACGCCCATTGAGATGATGATGACGACGACGATGATGTGAAGACGATGACGACGATAGTGATTATGATTATAGTTAAATGAATTTTACATCTGTTATTAACGTGATGCTGCTGATGATGATGAAGATGATGATGACAGAAAATAAATGCTAATTAAAACTAATTAATTGGTCAGTGAATTAATTTTATTTTTATTCACATTCCAGTTTTGGTGGTTCGAGCAAAAATTTCTTTCAATTATTCAGCAACATTCTTTTCATCACCACTACCACCATTGCCATCTTCATCATCGTTAACTCCATCTTCATCAACCTAAACGTATGAAACCGCGAACCATTGTCAACACACTTGTCAAATGAACCGAAATATCTGAGAACCAGCATATCTGAGGAGTATCCAGATGAAATGTACAGCAAGAATTTCAGCAGATCCAGCCAACCAACCTGTATACCACAAACACTTCAACAGTCAGCAGTCAACAATTAATCAAAATAATATTAACAATGGAAGGTTAAACTCCAATAATGTAAACAAAAACATAAATAAAAACCTAAACAACAGCATGAATAAAAACATAAACAACAACATGAATAAAAACATAAACAACAACATAAACAACAATCCTAGAAACGACAAAATTATGAATGCGAACTCAAACAACAAAAACATCGCTAAAAGCGAAATCAAAAACGTAAACGACAACAGCAACAACAACAACAACAATACAAGTACTGCAACAACAACCGAGGATAAAATAAAAACCGACAATTCGACGCAAACCGATCCGAATATATTCTGCGGCTTCCACAATCATCGCATCAAAAGACTTGTCGATGAGATCCTCTATGCCTATTTGTACCCTGTAAGAAAGTACGATCCAGTTAAATGCGGCTATCTTTGCAGGAGTCTCTGTAAGATGATTCGTGATAGGTCGCAAGAAATTACAAAGGTTCTTTTTATTTTTGATAAAATTTTCGGTTTAAATTGATTGATTGGTTGATTGATTGGTTAGTGGATTGATTGATTGATTGATTGATTGATACTTGAATGATTTGATTGGAGGAATTCTCTGCGGACTGGTGGACGGTTTTGGTCTTTTGAGTAGCAGTATCTGACATAGAGTGCAACACGATTTCCCGCCGACAGTCACGCGTATGCATGATGCGTTGATTTGCTTCGTACACGCAAGAGTTTGCAGTTACTGCGAGTTACTGGAAAACTCATTTCCATCCTTTCGGACTATACCTGTAGCGTCATGTAAATGACATTTTATTTTAATATCAATGTTATTAGTTTAATACAAATAAATTTTTATACCAGGCTTATGATTGGTTAGATGGTAAGGAAACTCTACCCCTTAAATTAGTCATCAACGTCGTCATTGGTCAGGATTTGAACCAGAATTTTCAAATGGCCTGCAGGACTTGGTCAGACGTCAACAAAGATGGATTCGTCTGCTGCGTTTATAGGAACAACGTCATATTTGCCGTAGCCACCGTGCACGGCATGGACAACAACACCTGCTATTGTCATGGAGACGACGTCAACCGTGACAACAAAAACATTAACAACAACAAATGTAAAAACAATGATGACACAACGAATAAAGACAGCACGAATAATTTTTCGTCTGTGAAAAACAATACAACAAACAAAAGTCCTGGCAGCTGCAACTTTCGAAGTAGCACCAACAACCAAGCCAACAATATTACAAACAACACCAGCCACAAGCTCAACAACAACAGCCACACCAACAATACAACAGCAGCAGCAGCAACAACGTTTTCAGCGAAGCGAACGTAAGCGATCTTATTAACAACGTCATTATTGGAACAGAAACTTTCGACAAAAAAGCCACAACAAACTGAAAACTCTCGAAGAACATAAATTTTTTCCAACTCGGTTGCAAGCATTTAGAAGAACAGACAACAACCTGAATATATAACAAGTTACAACAAAAATATAGAAATAAATGTAAAGTGCGTATAACATCACCACGGCAACAACATCTAACATGAGCTAACACCACTGAATACAACGACACGACTCCACGTATCATCGTTAACAACTCATAGGTATTTAAAAACATTCCATGAGTTTGATCACCAAAAATTATTCTGTTAACGACTTAATCATAAAATAACTTCGCTTCAGCAAATGATGATAATCTTAATAATGTTTCGCAAAGACTTATATAGTGCACGACAATCTCACTTAGCTCATCAAACTTTTTAATTTAATTTAATCATTAGCGAAATATAATAATTTTGTTTATCAAAATTCTCATTGGAAATATTCTCCATTTTCCGATATAACGGACACTAAACCTACTCTCAATTTTTTTCCATTTGTAAATACTTTCTGGATTTGCACTAAAAAAAAAGTTAACTTACGTTTATCAGGAATTCAAGAATCATGCTCAGCTCAGTGGCGGATCTTGGGGGTGGGACACTGCCTTCTCTCCCCCCGTTGTGAACGAAATTTTAATAAAACAAAAAGGACTGTTTAATGTGGGTCGCCAGCTAAACAAGCACAAATCTTGGCCCCCCCCGTTAAAATAACTTTTTCAAAAGTTGCCCCCTCCCGTCAAAGTTGTCCAGATCCGCCACTGTCCATGCCGTTGTTTCCCCTCTTCTTCTCTAGCTAAATTTACGTTGTTTTTCATTTTTACTGAAAAATTTATTCAACGCTGGCATGTTTAAACAATGTTGCCAAATTATGGCTTGATATTTGTTTCAAAGCAATCCAGCTAATTTATTGTTTATTACATTGTAAATTGTGTATAGCGCGATATGTTCAGTTCAGTTCCTCACTCTTGTTATTAACGATTACTGCAAAGCAAATCTAATAATTACTGTGATGTGATCCTGTTCTCACTTTGAATACAATTCTTGATTTTATTTTGATTTTTCATATTTGTTCATTTTTTTTAAACAATTTCATTCCTGATCATAAATAGATAAAATGTTCTTTCCTGACTTTCGGTTTCGATATATTATATAGGGTGCTTATTTCGAAAAGCATATTGTCAAAACGTCTGCATATCTTGCTGTAAGTTAATGCACTCGGTTGAACGCGCACATTGCAACAAATGTACCACACAACAATTGCAAAATCCGCACTCCAATATTCAACAAAATCAAACATTTGTACATTGGAAAATTTAAAATAAAACCACTAATGTTACTTTGTTTCCAACAACTTATTCATCGTTAATGTAACAATGCTAGCTCGACTACTGCAAAATCTTCAAATTAGAGGTATTTGCATTAAAAACGCAAAATAATCAATAAATTAAAATAATTCCTTGCGACAGTGATGAAGGATTTTCTATTGGAAGGCTCAGAGTGAGCTATGAATACAAAAAAAAATTGAGGTCTGCTGAACCAACCAAGGCAAGCGAATTCTAAAAAACCCTTCAGCCAGAGTTGCAGATAACACTCATTCATTCTGTCTTTCATCTCAACAAAGCTTACAAATACACCGTGAAACTTTTCTTCAAACTGACTAAGAGCCAATCTAAGCAGTATTATGTAAACGTTTCGTCAAAAGTGACACACCCATGAACAAAATTTGGAAAAAAATTTGTTCGAAGATGGTTTTACAGGTTTCACAAAACGTCTAATGGAATAAATTGAAGTAATTTTATTAAATGCTACAACAAATAATATAACATTTATAATGAAAAATAACCATAAAAAACGTATATACAAAAACAAATATCATCTATATGAAAAATTGATGAGACGAAGAACAAATACGTAAAATACAAGATTGACATTATAATACTGGCGATAATAATATAATACTGACATAATACTATGTAGAAAGTCAGGAAATGGTAGAAACAATTATTTGCATGTCATTTAAAATAATAAATATTTAATTTAATCATTCATCCGTCATTCATCCGTCAATCATTTAGAAACTATTTCTAGTTCAATTTATTCATTCGTCAATTCATTCATCAATTCATTCATTAATTCATGTAATCGTTTATACATTCACTCTTTCAGTCAACAGTTGGAATGCTATGAGTCCACAAGCAACTCTAATGTAAAAATGTACATATACATATGAAGTGATACTAGATGAGATTATATTTAATCACAATACATGATATTGTTGATGGATTTAATTAATTCCATCTATACTTTATCAATTAATTAACTTCAATTAATTTTCTCTTATCTTTACTCTATTAATTCAATCAATCACCTATCCATCAACACACCCATTCATTCATTCATTCATCCATCTTTCTTTTTGGTTTCTTTGGATTCCTAGATCTGCTCTTTGCCTTGCACAATGGACAGATCGGTGCGTTGCGATGGATTTGTTGGTGACAGGACAAGCAGGCCTGTAGAAATTCATAATTATTCATAATTTGATATTATTATAATTAATTTATAATTAAAAACATAAAAGCATCAAATTTATACAGCATATATTTAAAATTATTTTAAATCAGTGAATTTCAATTCAGTAAAATTAATTTAATTGGAATAAACTAGAAATTGAATTAAATTAATTTAATTAAAATAAAAGATGAGGACATTCGAAATGGAAAACTGAAAAAAACCTTCATGGGAGGTGGCTGCTGTCTGAAAGCCGAAATACTACTAGAAGACATGGAGTCCTGTGGAGCTCGCAGAAGATCTGACTTTGCGGTCTGCTGAGATTGAGGTGGGGCCAATGACAGGAGGGGGATAGTACCCATTAGAAAACTACCCTGGTCGTTGTTGTTAGCAGTCGATGATGAAGAGGTGGATGACGTGGAGAGGAGGCTGTGTTGATGTTGTTGGTGGTGGTAGTTTTGTTGTTGTTGCTGCAGCTGCTGTTGTTGGCTGACACTATGGTAATGATGGTGGTGATGATGGTGGAATTCCAGCTTGTTCTTCTCGTATAACCTGGAAATAATAGTTAGGAAATAATTTAAAAAAAAAAAATTTCACCAAAATTTATTTTTAGCAAAATTTGTTTAAAAATATAGGAGGGAAATTTATAATGTATCTGAACAACAAATAAGTAAAATATAATAAAGAGTAAGAATAATATAATTGAATAGAGAGTATGATATATCATAAATGTAATTAGAAAAAAAGAATAATATAATTATTATATATTAATAATATATATAATTATTAATATAATAAAGAATAAGTATAAAATAAATATAACAAAGATAAAGATACTTGGCAATGATATTTTCATCAGCTGCCTCGGAAGGGTCCTCATCGTCGACACCCGCATTTTCAATCCCAACACCATTTTTAAGGATCTCCAGTTGGTTTTTCAGCAGTCGTTGTTCCTCATACAACATCCTGGCATTCTCCAGTGCTTTCATCCTTTCTTCCTCTGCTTGCTTGATTGTTGTCTCCATCTTGTAGTTTTTTCAGATCAATGAGTAAACAAAATGGGATTGTTGAAATTATTAATAATTAATGGTTAATAATTAATTCAGAAAAAGGTGAAATGAAAAGTTTTAAAAAATGAACAAAAATCTATTTTCAACTCTCTAAAAATAAAGAACACTGGCACTTAACCTAATAAATATTTAAATGATATAGGAATGACAATTTTGAAGTTAAAAATATATTAATTAACAACATAAAATAAATATTGTGAATATTTAATTTATTCAAAAAAACAAAACAAGCTAAGATAACAAATGTACTAATATAATGTAGTAAGTGAAATAGTTAAAAAATAAAAAAATAGTAAACAAGAAGCTACCTACCAAGTTGATATCGGCATGTATGAGACGAAGTTCTTCGACGTGTGCCATCTTCTCCTGCAGTAAAAGTTCCATCTCGTGTTTGTACTCTTTTAGGCAGCTGTCCTCACTGTCCATCATGTCACATTCTGACTTCACTTTCAGTCGTAACCTCTCAATCTGCACCATTTTGTTCCTAAGAGGAAAAGTAGTTACTTAGTAATATAAAATTATAAGTTAGTTATCAGTAAAATAAATTCATTTAATTTAATGAATAATTATTTTTAAAAAAATTATTAAATTAGTTAATTTTGCACAGTGACTTAAAATTTGAAAACTAATCCCAAGGTTTGTTTTTGTTTGTTTGCAAGTTTAATAATAATAATGAAAAATTTAAAAATTTATATTTGCAAAAAAAACAAAAAAAATTTTACTTGATTTCTTTAATTTGTTCTAGCTTCCTCAACAAATCTGGATCCAGAGAATCGGACATTTTTTTAATTTAATTAATTATCGCTTTGTTTGGCTTGAATAACAAAGACATATCAATCGGAAAAAAGAAGGTCAGCAGCGAAAAATGACTTCAGTTTCTAGGTTATTTGTGGAGACTTCTAAATCTAGAGTTAAATGCCTAAGAATTTGAATCTTATTATATTTTAACTATCATGTTTTAATAACTCTAAAAACTATATTACTATTTCTACTGTCATATTCATAAACAGCCTGGTCATCAATCGTCTTCTTGTTGTTACTTTTCCTCAATTCCTGTTAAATACCATTTTGCTAAATCTGCCTTCGTTTTCTCTGGTTCTTTTCTCTGAAATTCTCTTCCTTTTCCCCTAATTATAACAACTTTTCCTGCTCTTACAAAGTTTATTGTTGATCTAAAGCTCTATCTACTCGCAAAGTTCATCAAAATCAAATAGCTATAGAAAAATAATCGATTGGTTGATTACTTTATTGATTAATTGATTGATTGATAGGTAATGATCATAAATTACTACATTAAAATATTTAGTATCATATTATTATCTAAAATATCGATAGGGAAAGAATTAGACTCAGTCGTTTATTGATTTTTCTTCAATTTTGTGTTAGACGAATACATGAAATTTTAATATGAATGATGTCTGCTCCAAAATTTTTTGATGACGTCGATGAAGTACAACAGCCTTTGCAAGAACACAGCGAGAAAAATGAAAGAAAAATTTAATTTTTTCCTTGACTTAAATATTTTACGGAAAATAGCAAGCAGTGAACTATGTGTAAGTTCTCTGTTATCATTATGCTTTTTACATGTAGCCTACTTAGAATACGGTTTATATTTTTTTTCATAATTCTACAAATAAATTTTCATTAAACGATATAAATTCATGGTTCAATATTTTGTAAACAATATTTTGTTGAATTGGTTCTTTCAAACGTTTCTTAATTGTTTTTGAAGTTAATCTTTAGCTTAACTTTTTTTGTATATAAATGGTATTACGCCTAAGTAATAAATTTAAAAAACTTTAACATCTGCACATTTAAAAAAACATTTCAATGAAATTTTTGAAAGCCTCGTGCCACTAGGTTTTTTATCTGTATGAATTCGGTTGATTTAGTTTAAATAAATTTAAAATTTCCAAAAATTATTCAGCTGAGATGACTATCGGAGTTCTGAAATTCGTCCTCATTATATTTGAAGCAAATCTCTTAAGTGCTCAAGGTATGTTTAGCACGGTTATGGTCAGAATATTTCCGATTTCACAAAAGACCTTCTTAAATAAAACCATCTTGTATGAGCAAAATTTTTCAGTTATAAATAGTTGTCGATCTAATTTTATTCGAAGTTTAATGTCTGCAGATGAGAATCCGGACGAGCTAAACCTCGACGAGATCCAGAAGAAGCTGCAGGAATGCAAGTCCTTTTTCAAGAATATTGAGTGGGCGTCGTTTGCAAACAACACTGAATCTGCTTGCCGGTAACTTCTCTTCTTTCTTCGTAAATTTTTTACAATTTTTTCTCTTCATAATTTTTTCGAGATACGCGATACCGCCACCACCACCAACAACAACAACAGCAACAGCAACAACAGCAACAAATAAGCAAGAATCAACGTATGGCGTGGGATAGAATGGGATCTCTTTGCATTCCAACCTGGTCACGGAGGAAGAATCCCTGCCAGGCAACTTGTTTATCACACCACCCAGATTCATAAATTATTAAAATATCTAATTGAGATAGATATATGAATGCATAGGTTCGTTTTACTGATATCGCGTTTTCGCTGACTAAAATAACGCAGCGGAGCATGATTCGATAGCGCAATTTAACAAACATATTAAAACTTATATTTTATTATTACGCATAATTCATATTTATTTTATTTTAAATATAAAATTAATTAATCAATTAATTAGTTTATTTATTAACTTAAATCTTAAGTTTTGATAACTTGAAAAAGTTCGATAGCCCTCATGAAAAACTGTTTGACGGCGATATGGAGCAAGGCGGGCACATTCGATAAAAGAGTCCTGGATAGCTTCCCTGACCTGAAGCATCTGAGGACCAAGGATAACTTCTGTGAAATGTTCAGTACTGGAGGAGATGGCGGTAATATATAAGAATATCATTATACGAATCTTTATGTCACTTTCTTGTACCTTTACCGTACCTTGACATGTTTAGGTGTCAAGGTGCAATGAATATTTTTGAATTTTACTTTCGCTCATTCAAATTATTAACTTTTTAGTTTTGAGAAGCGAATAAAATCACATTTCGTTTCATTTATCTTTGTAATCCTACTTCATCTATCTGGATATTATGATATCAGTAACAGTTCATTTATTTAAGAAATTGATTGCACACTTGAACTTTTTTAATGTTCATTAATTATTATTGTCGCATTGCTGTCAGGCATTTTTTGAATATTTTATTTTGCATAGAAGCTTAATAGTTTTTAAAGTGTCATGTAATCTATCTATCTAGAACAGGGGTAAGCAAACTACGGCTCACGGCCCGCGAAGTCTTGTTCGCAAAAAAAGGTTGCCAGCCAGACATTATGACCAAAAAAGAGGCCACAAATCTTAAAAAATTCTCTCTCGGGTTGATAAAATTTGCTATTTAAGTACATACGCGGCCCTTCAAAGGTAAAATAGTTCTCAATGCGGCCCTCACAGCAAAAAGTTTGCCCACCACTGATCTAGAAAGCACGTAAAAACCATGTGTAGAGTGCTACAAATGTTTTGAACATTTTACATAGGTACAGTTGTTTATTCATTAGGTTAATAATTTGGTTTGAATTGTAATATATCAAAACAATTACATTAAAGATAAATAATAACTGATTGATAGTAATTAATATTGGTGTTTTTATTGTTTTTTGTTAAGATTGCAATTACAAATTACGGTTAATATAATTTTCCTTTCAAGAGCTCGTTGGATCGATAAGATGCGTATTCAAGTATTACTCGAAAGATTTCGTAAAGGGCAATGCACGCGGATGTATTCAGTCAAGTATCGATGCTGAATTCTGCTCGTAAGTAACGATTACTTTTAAGCAAAGTATCGTCGGATTCGTAATTACGATTGCTATCATCATTGTTCGGATTATCATTCTATACTTCAAATAGACTTTTCTGCCACAAAGCTGTAACATTCACACTATACATACATGCATGCATGCATGCATGTATGTATAGTGTGAATACAAACATACATACATACATACATACATACATACAAACATACATACATACACACACACATACATACATACATACATACATACATACATACATACATACATACATACATACATACATACATACATACATACATACATACATACATACATACATGCATATACGCATGTTATATGATAGTATGTATTTCAGTTTCGGACAGACAGAACAGCATTAAAACCTAGTAATCGTGCAATAGCAGCTTAAGAAACAAAACACTGACCGTCTGAGCTAATTCGTCTACCAATATTATTATTATTATTATTACCATTATTATTATTATTATTATTATCATTATTGTTTTCTTCTCACTATATGCCTAACTTTCCTTAAAGATATTTGAACGAGGAGATATTTTGCTTCGCTGCCATGTACCACTACGTAGACCCCAACTGCACAGGTAGCTTCGAACGCTTCTACATGAACTACGCCACCTTCCATAGACAGAACGAGAGAGAATTCTCCATTGATTGCACTTTCGAATTCAGTTAGGAATTATTTATTTCATTTTGAAAACGAATCTTAACATTTTTAAAATTTTATTATTAGATATAATTCAGTTCATTTTGCAGTGAAATTATTTTTGTTATGAATATTTATTGTATTGAGTAAGTATTTCTTGATTTTATTTCTAAATAAATTATTTGTAAATCTGAAAATAATTTTTTTTGAACGAAACAGTTGACATATGCTACTTGGACACCGTTCTAGCAAACATACTTTGTGAAAGTAAAATTCAGTTTTGTTGAAATTTTAAAAAATACTTCCAAACCAATGTTTATAAAATAAGCATTAGAAGATGTTTACCTGAAAGGGTCTTTTATCTTCATATCTAATTCAGAGGATAGATAAGTTGTGAAATATTATTGACTGACTGGAATAAAACATTCTACAAATGTATTTTTAGCGGGAAATAAGTTTTGATTTTGAATTTAAGGATACAAGAAGCACATGAGACCAAAATTAGGAACGCCGAAATTGATGATTTCATCCGATGAGGTTTGGCTGGAAGGGACCAGCAAGATACTGCTGCTTTGTTTTCACTCGTTTCAAATAATTTTTTTGTCTTTTTATTTGTCCTGACGTTTTTGATTTATTTGATTAAAAATAAAATTGGTTATTTTTATTTTTCACGAAAAAAACATTAAAAAAATAAAATAAAAATGAATGTTGAAAGTTAAAACGACAAACACGACTCAAACAACAGATTCTTCATACATGGCAAAATTATATTTCAAGTTTTTCTTTGTACCATTACAGCGCAGTAAATTACACGAAAAATTATCTTTTAAATTATCTGCAGTAGTGTACTCGTCTCCGATAACCAAATCTGACATATCAGGCGCTGTGAACTTGTGAAACTTTCGCAAATGTTTCAATGAAAATAGTTGACATGATAAGGCGATGAAGTTTATTAGCGTGGAAGTAAGCAGGAAAACTTTGATGGTTGTGTGGATTCTATTGGTGGAAATGAAGAAGAGGAAGGTGTACGGTAAGTTTAAATTTCTTCCAGGTGTGACTGATGCATTAGTAACCATGCATTCATTATCTGTCTCGTTACCTGTTTTTGTATTCAGAAATTTCGTTCAAGTAAATAAGACTATAAATAAATATATATATACAATCGATGTTTACATGTGTATAAGTGTGTGTGCACGTGTGTGTATATGCGCAAAAAACGTCATTTAAATTTGAAACAATCACAACACCTAAAATAGTAGCCATGTGATTGGAACATGGAAAGCTGCCGAAACTATTGAAAACTGATTTCTTCTCAGGCGTGGTTGAAGGAACCTCTGAAAATTATGAAAAGAATAAATGTAATGTTTATTTGTTAGTGACCAACGATTGTCTGATACCTCTCTTAAAGTTCCTCATCCCCCAGACATTATCCTCGTAAACATTCAACATGTCCGCGAGTTCTCTGAGTTTCAAGTGTGTTTGCGCAGGTCTGTTGTTGTGTACTTGAGGTTGAAGTTGAGCGCTGGATTCGTTCCTGATGTTTGTTTCAAGTTTTTCCGTCTTTATGTAATGCAACAAGAACAGGGCAGTGAAACAGAAACTGAAAGTGGAAACGATGAATGACTTTCTAAAAGTAAACACGTTCCAGGAGGCATCCGAGTTTTGGTGTTTTAGTTTTACGTGAATTCTTCTCTCAAATTTATTTCTGACTGAGTTGTCAGATATGTGGCTGGCGGATGTAGGGGGTGACTCTTGAGACTTTCTTGCATCCTCATCAGATGAAGTAAGATTTATGACCATCCAATCTGAATTAAACTTTTCAGAATTCACTGCTGAATGAAATAACAAAGATGGATTCTTCGTAAAAAGGTTGAAATGTTTATAAGGATGGAAATAGAATGTTGATTGAGCAATGCTTTGGGAATTTTTTAGTTCTCGGTAGCCGACGAGCAGACAAACAAAATCATAAATCTGCATGCATCTGTGACAGAACAGGAACAGATCGAGTGTGCTGAATAATTTTTCAAAATATTTTATATACTCTCTAAGTTTCTCTGTAAAATTTTCGTTCGTAAATTCATTCGACAGAATGTGTTGTTTGGATGGAGGAGTGTTTGTTTTCAGCGGAATTCTTAAAAATTTGAAACTGTCGTAAAATTGCAAATTTGTCTCTTCCTGATGGTTTTTTGGTTCTGTTAACGAAGGTGTTGTTTCAACTGATGCACCACCCAAGTCGTGCGTTCCTGGTGAATTCAAGTCTTTTTTCAGACTGCTCAAGCGCTTGAGTTGTCTGTATGTGTTGGAGAAAATTTTTCATTCACTGTTTAATATTGTTCATGCTCATAGTCATTTTATATATTTTTTGTTTAAAAAATGATTAGTTAAGAAAAATTAATATGGCAAGAGCAAAGTGTTCAAAAGGCGTTTGAACCCCAAGTAAGTATGAGTTATATATAGTTATTAATGCGTATGAACAAGTTACACATATAGGATAAGCATATATGAAAACATGTATAGGTACTGTGTTTATGTTTGCCTATGTATACACAAACACACGCTCCAACTCACCGGTCAGCCATCACAAGATCCCAGACACCAACAATAGAATCAGATTGGGAATGATTTGTACAGGATTTTAAAATGGCTCCCATCTGAATGTTGTCTGTGATTCCGAACAACCAACAAGTGCAAATGTTTCTTCTGTCTGCCACAATTTTATTGAGTGAAACTTTCACATTTGAGATAATTTCATATGCAGTATCTTTGGTAAACATTTCTAATTTTGCAATAGTTCGGTTAAGAAGTAACCGAAAAATGCTCTGAGCAGAGTTTTTAAATTCCGCCATCTTGTTTTTATTAGATTTTGAACTGATCAGTTGTTCTGTTATGTTAGACAAACATCTGGATTTAAAATCAGAAGTAATACTTTGGTTCTTACTGCTCCGCGAACATGAGTTGGTTAATTGTTTGCCGATATAGCTTGAATGAATACTGTTTCGATTAGAGAAGTTCACATCTTCATGAATGATGTTATAATTTATGATCAAAACAACGACGAAAAATGTACATGTGACGGATTGTAAAAATTTCCAGATTAAAATGGCGACGATGGCAAGTTTTAAGTGAGTTTGAAGGTTGGTCAACTTTTTGACCGTTTCTTTGGAAGGTTTGGAATTTTTTAAAAGGCAATTTTTGAAGATACTTTTATTACTGGAGAAAGACTTTACCCATTTTTTAATATTTGAATTGTTTTCAATTTTAAATTTATTTTTGTAGAGTAATAAAAATAAAACGATATTAAAAAGAGTGCCAACAAAAGCGGTCGAGAAAAATGTCGCATCATATCTGCCATTTTCGTCGAAATGCCAAAAATCTTTAGGATGCTGTCGATGACTTTTTAAATTCTTACTGACAACAATCGGTGCAACCAAAGAGGTCAATATTTCATCCCTGTTGATTTTGATTATCACTTTAAGAGGGTCAAACAGACTGGACATTACTCCGGGCAGGGTCAGGTTGAAATCAAATGTTTCAGGGCACGATATTATCAGATCCATATCCGTCAGTATGACATCGGAAGTCCAGTTTCTTACGGTTAAAATCATGAAATTCGGACATCCGTCAAAACTTCCTGAACGCAGTAATATTAAAAATTTAAAGTTCATGTCATTAATTACAAATACAAGTGATATAAATTACCTTTTACTCTGATAAGAAAGCTATCATTAAAAGTATGAACGTCTATTGAGAGGTTGTACAGGAGATGGCGTGTTGAATTTTTCCAAAACCACCATTGTAGCAATGAAGCCGTGCCTGCATTACAAAAGATATAATGTAAGTTGTTTCATGCATGTATGTATGTGTCAACTAAAACTTGGAAACTAATTCGTCTTAAAATATTTTAAATTGTATCGTTGTTTCGACGGCGATGATAACTGAATTTGAAATAAAAGACTGATTGTAAAACCAAAATTGAATTCTGAAATGACAAACGTTATTTAATTGAAAATAGGCATAAATAGCAGGTTGTTAAAATAGTTAATAGCGAATACTTGGCGCAACTTATATTAACGAATGTAACTTTAATCTTACCAAATAACAACGAATACATCGCCATATTTTAATGCGATAATGAAAATGGTAAGAACGGTTAAGTGAATGATGACGAGAACCTGCCACGTTGATCTTGACGCTGGGAGAAACAAACTTGGACTTGAGGTGGAAAAAGACGCGCGAATCACTCGTCCTATCCATCTGCTGAACGAAAACATCCAAAACCGAGTTTTTGTTTGCTCTCTTCAAATTCCTTAAAAATATTTCCTTATCGACCTTTTCAAACTTCATTTCATCTGGCGAACATGCCTGCAGGACGACGTCCAGTTCCTGCGGATCGAACTTTGATGAATTCAATTTGTAGTAAGTGGTCATCGACGTCGGTGGCTGCCCAGGTCCATTGCTATCAATTTCAAAATTGAAATTATTTACCCTGTTGACGTTTTCAAATCTTTCAATCAAAGCCGGGACGTCTAAGTCATTGGAATAGGAAAATGAGTCGGAGTTGTAGTAGAGGATGATGTCATCGGCAGTGTTCAAGTTAGTCTGGCTGGATAGCTCCATGAAATTGTATCTAAAAGTTGATCGCTGGTCTACGAAATCTTCATCTCCGTGCACGGTCGCGTAGAACCTCGGAGTTTCAAAGCCAAAGTGAGGAATGCTGACGTAGAACCACATTAGGTACAAATGTTTCGGTCGCACCCTAGTTAGGTGGCAGTTGTAGGAGGTATCCGAATCCAGGTAGATTGGTTCATACGTTGTCTGATAGGTAGTCTCTAGAAGATGGAAACCAAAATTTCATGTTATTTCTGTATAATACATTGATGCGTTTTCAACATTTCTTATTTTTGAGCAATGTTATTTTCATTATTTACAATGTTTCCACTTTAAATTTATATTCAAATTTCGATACAAACGTTCGAACAAATCATTTTAATACTCATCTATGCTATTCTAAATGTATTTTTAAAAAATAG